CTGTCTGTAAAATTTTATAAGGATCGGTCCATAATTGACCCTACCCCCCATATAAAGTCCCCTTCAGAAAATGACTTTATCGCCCATAACTGGCTAAGAAAAGCATCAATAGCGATGAAATTCGGCACAAGCATGTTTTATGGGAACATAAATCTCTTTGTAAAATTTTATAAGGATAGGCCCATAATTGACCCTACCCCCCATAAAAAGTCCCCTTCAGAAAATGACTTTATCGGCCATAACTGGCTAAGAGAAACATCAATAGCGGTGGAATTCCGCACAGACATGTTTTATGGGAACGTAAATTTCTTCGAAAATTTTATAAGGATCGGTCCATACTTGACCCTACCCCCCATTTAAAGTCCCCTTCAGAAAATGACTTTATGGCCCATAACTGTCTAAGAGAAGCATCAATAGCGGTGAAATTCAGCACAAACATATTTTATGGGAACATAAATCTCTTTGTAAAATTTTATAAGGATAGGCCCATAATTGACCCTACCCCCATATAAAGTACCCTTCAGAAAATGACTTTATCGCCCATAACTGGCTAAGAGAAGCATCAATAGCTGTGAAATTCGGCACAAACATGTTTTATGGGAACATAAATCTCTTCGTAGAATTTTATAAGGATCGGTCCATAATTGACCCTACCTCCTATAAGGTCCCCTTCAGAAAAGGACTTTAATGCTCATATCTACCTTAAGAAGCATATGCATAACAATAAAATTCGACATAAAAAAGTTTTATAGGAACTAAAATCATTTTCTTAAATTTTATGAGGATGTGTCCATAATTGACCCTAACCCCCTAATAAGGTCTCCTTTATACAATGACTTTAACGCTCATTACTGACTCAAAAATGTGAGTACAGCGGTAAAATTATACATAAACAAATTTCGTGCGAGCCAAAACCTCTCTATCAAATTTTATAAGGATCGGTCCTTATTTAAATCGGTCTATAATTGATTCGCTCCAGAAAATCACTTAAACGCTCATGTGTGACTCAAAAGTTCTTCCAAATTACGGTAGTTTTATAGGAACTGAAATTTTTCAACTGAATTTGATGAAGATCGGTCGATAACTATCAAACCCCCATTTTCGGCTTTCTTCAGAAAATTACTTTAAACCTCATGACTGAATTAAAAATACGAGTACAGCGCCATTAGATACACACAATTATTGTATAAACCGACAAGGAAAGGTCCATAATTGACTCTACCCTCCATATAACCACTCTTACAAAAAAACAGTTTTTGGTTATAAATATTGGGTCAAAGAAAATTAATATTTTCAATTCGGAATAGCACGGTCCATGCTTAAGCCCTTGGCCCTCTTCCAAATATGTCCCTGATGTTCATATTAATATCAACATATGATTCAAACTAGATCGATAATATCAAAATTTATTAATAAGGATGATTTGATGGTGGGTATATAAGATTCGGCATGGCCGAATATAACACTCTTACTTGTTTGTTTTGGGGTATTTCTTCATTTCACAACATTGGGGTCATTTTTATTTTTTTGCAAAATGCAGTATTACCCCAAATGTAAAAATGTTGAAATACCCCAAAAAAATATATAAAAAACAAAAATTACGTGTTTTTGTTTCCTGTTGGGGCCATATTTCGTTTTATGTTTTGGGGCCATTTTACCTGGGGCCATAATTCGCAGCGCCACTTAAAAGCACATAATTCATTACTAAAATAAGATATCCATATAAAATTTGGTACAAATATTACTCATATGCACAGACATATTACTGTGAAATTTTCTTCCGATCGGTCCATCGGTCCCTAATTGGTCATAGCTTCCATACAAGGTCCCCTCCCGCCCCCTCCCATCACTTAAACGCGCATAACTCATTACTAAATTAAGATATCCATATTTGGTACAGGTATTGCCCATATACACAAAAATATTACTGTAAAATTTTTTTTGGATCGGTTTATAATTGGTCATAGCTCCCATACAAGGTCCCTTCCCGAAAATCACTTAAACGCACATAACTCATTACAAAATTAAGCTATCCATATAAAATTTGATATAAGTATTGCCCCTATGCATAGAAATATTACTGTGAAAGTTTTTTCCGATCGGTCCATAATTGGTCATAGCTCCCATACAAGGTCCCCTTCCGAAAATCACTTAAACGCGCATAACTCATTAATAATTGGTCATAGCTCCCATACAAGGTCCCCTCCCAAAAATCACTTAAACGAGCATAACTCAATACTTAATTAAGATATCCATATAAAATTTGGTACAAATATATCATATGGACAGAAGTATTACTGTGAAATTTTTTTCCGATCGGTCCATAATTGGTTATAGCGCCCATACAAGGTCCCCTCCCGAAAATCACTTAAACGTACATAACTCATTGCAAAATTAAGATATCCATATAAAATTTGGTACAAGTATTGCTCATATACACAAAAATATTACTGGGAAAATTTTTTTCCGATCGGTTCATAAGTATTGATATCCATACATTTAGCAAAAATATTGCTCTTATATACATAAATTACACTTTAAAATTGTTTTACGATCTGTCCATATTTGGTCATAGCTGTCATACTAGGTCCCCTCCAGAAAATCACTTAAATGCACAATATTCATTACCAAATAATGATATAGATACAGAATTTTGAAATTTTGTCTTTATATACATAATTGGTCATAGCTCCCATAAAAGGTCCTTTTACGAAAATCTCTTTAACGCACATTACTCATTACCAAATAAAGCTAATGATACAAAATTTGGCGCAAATATTAGTTTTGTATATAAAAATTATATTTCAAGATTTTTTCACGATCAGTTAATAACATGGGTGCGGTCCCATACAAGGTTCCCAGAAAATCACTTAAACACACATCACTTATTACTAAATTGGGATTTTTCTATTTAAGACACGAGAAAACTTATTTCTACAAATATTTGAGCAATTAGAAAAGTATTAATATAAATGTAGCTGGTGGAGGGTATTTAAGATCCGGCTCAGCCAAATATATCCCTCTAACTTGTTGTATTTAATTAATATGGTAAGTGCCGCTCCCCTCATGAGTAATCCGCCTATTTATTACCCAAAATGTTTACATGGATGTTAAAGTTATTTGTACAAAATTTTAAGATTCTAACTGATAGTTTCCAAGATAAACGAATTTTTGTACTTAATTGATATGCCCCCCAATGCTAGGCGGACTTTTTGTCCTAAATAATCATATTGACACTGATATATTATCTCAAATATACGGATTTAATATTTTCTTAATATGGGAGTGGCTTTTCGCCCACTTGGAATTTTAAAATAAAAAGTAGCCTATTACATATTCCAGACACACAGGAATACGCTATGAAAATTTGAAGAAAATTGGTTCAGCCACTTAGTAGTCTATAACGTTCAAACATACAAACATATAAACATACAAACAATCAAACATTAATTTTTACATACACATATAGATAAGATATAATTTTGAAACCCCAAGAGCGATGAAAAATTAGGCAATATCTAAATTATGTAACAATTTGTTTAAAATACTTTTTTGATCAAAAATAAATAAGTATGAAATTACAGTCGGGGATGGCCGACCATATAGTACCCTTCATCAGTTAAGAAAATAAAATATTGATGAAACACTAATTTTCTAAAAGAGGCTTTATACATATACATAAAATGTAAATTCAATGAATTATCTTACCATAATTTCTTACTTGTTTGATATAGTATATAAGTATTGAAGCTAGAGTTTATAAACTGGTTAACCGAAAACCCGTTTTTATTGCATATTTCTGTTATTTGCAAGCCGATTTTTTTTAACATTGATTTTCGGTTAACCGGGTGATCCGGTTTTTAAGTCTCGGTTAACCGGTTTCAAAAAATTTAAATTTTTAGTACAAAATTGTATGTTTTCATTGATTTTTATTGTGATTCGCATTTTTTTTATATTTTGGATACATAATTCCTAACATTATTTTCCGTTTGTGTATAGGAATACAGACTTAAGATTGTTAAGCAAATGTTACGAAATGTTAAAAATATATTATGTATATAAAATGGAGATTTACAATTTCAGACAATCTTAGACAATTAGTAAAAAGTTGGCATTTAAACCAAAAAAATTAACTACATACATATTTATACTTGATAGTCCTGGACATCCATTTTTTTTTTTTTTTTTGATATACAAACCGTCCTTCAGAAAATTACGTGAATTCCATAATTCTCCTTTTAATATCAATATCACGATGAAATTCAGCATAAATAACTTTTATATAAATATAAATCCTTTCACAAATTTTTACGAGGATCGGTCCATATTTAGCTCTCATATAAATCATCATTCAGAAAATCAGTTTTTAAACAATTTTGTATTAAGAAAACGATCAATAAAGTCGTCAATTGTTAACGGATCTTTAAAAACAAAATTGCGTTTAATTCATGAATAGACGTAATTTTCTAATACATTAATAAATAGTACTGTTCTTATATAAAATAGTTTCTAAAAACATTTCCAATCTTGGACAATGGTGCAAAGATAAAATCAAAAATTAGTTTACCGATGAAATGCACACATATTTCTCTGGGATACTTAAAGATCATATATGTCATTATTAAAGCCTCAGCTTCTGCTTTCTACGTACGTATAATTGCTTTCTACGTACGTATAATTGAAACTTAGTTGAATCGGTTTAGATTCCACTAAGTTTAAGGCTTATAAGTACTTAAAGATTTTTTTACTATATCTCAAGATTTTGAACGTGTTTGGCAAATTTCAAAAACAGATTCTTGGTATACTCGGATACACCTTTCTGAAAAATAGTACATATTACTTATTTTTACCGCATAGTGTTATAGGTTCAGGGTATTTAAGAACTACAAGTTACTGTTTCGTAATTTCCAGCATTTTTGTTTCATTCCGGTAAAATTTCCGTGAAATCGCTGACCTTAGTTCCAAATAATTTTGCAACAATTATACAAATTTATACATACCTCCCTCGCATAAACTCCACGTAAATGGCTCTGAATTACAACTGCAGCTCTTCGCATTCTTAAAAACTGAATGCGCATTTTCCATCCTCTATAAGCATGTTGTATTTTTAAGGTTGCATTACGAATGTGTTGATAATTTTTAACTTGAATGTAACGTTTCCAATTTGTTTGTATTAGTAAAGCCTTTGAGTGTACTAAGTATTTTCTTGTATCTTCTAATGGTTCGTAAGCTTTTGACCTCAAAAAAACCTTTGATTTTCCAATTTGCCATTCTGAGTGCGGCACGTTTAGACGATGCATTATATTTTCAATATATGCTTTAGAAGACTCCGCTTTTTTGTCTCTTAATAAACTTTTATATTTTGAAATAAATTCATTAAAATTTAAATGAATTGGAAATCCTTCTCTTCTTATCCGAATTATATCCAGCATTCCCAAATATTTTAATTGATCTAAAACTAGGACTTCATCATATTTATTTGGTAATTTTTCAGCATTTGGCTTAATACATCGAACATACCTAAATGGTAAAAGATTATTTATCAATTTTTGTATATAAAAAACATTAAACAAAAAAAAAATTAAATTCATATATACATACATACATACATACATACATACATACATACATACATACATACATACATACATACATACATACATACATACATACATACATACATACATACATACATACATACATACATACATACATACATACATACATACATACATACATACATACATACATACATACATACATACATACATACATACATACATACAGAGCTGTCCCGAAAATTTGTATTTGGCAACGTAAAGAACCGACTTTTAAATACTAACTACAAGCTAACTATAATTTAATGCAGAAGTGCCTCAAAATTATCTGCAGAGAATTAATTGTATTTCAACATGTTCTCTTGTTTCTCTATTATTATGATTTTATTTGTTAACTTGTATACGTTGTGAAATTAGAGTCAGTAAATTGGAAAAATTAATTATGAAAGGTTAAATATTTCAAAACTCGGTCCCTAAATTCTAAATTCTGCTGATTAATAATGTAAATATAATACATTAACAGTTAACATTACACATAACATTTTAAAATTTATTTTAGATTTGGATCAATGGGAATCATGGAAATAACGAACAAATCATTCATAATTTTATGGATACCGGTGTTATTTATTATTAGTTCCCCTGCAGAAAACTGATGTCTATTAATTTTAACGAACTAATATCATAACTTGTATTAAAGCGAAATGTAATTTAGATAACTAGTAGTTAAATTTTAAATATATTTAATTAAAATGTAATTAATTAATACAGTAGGGAATACAAAAGAAAAGTATTACTAGACTTTTCTGCAACTAACTTTAAGTTAGTTAATAAAGAGTTGCCTTTAAGCTAATTTTTTAGTAACTAACTTTAATCTAGTTGAAAAGTCATGCAGAGTAGGACAATTGACTACTGCGTAGGACATCGCTATGTTAAAAGAGTCAGTTGGCGTCCATTAAAATAATCCACAATCAACCATAACTAAGCATGAAAAGTCGGCTTTAATCATTAAAGTTGCAGAGTTGCTGGCGACGGACACAACAACCATACAACATACAGACAGACAGACAGACAATACATACATACAGACATACAGAACAACATCATACAGACAACTACATACATCCACATACAACAACAGACAACAACAACAGACATACACATACAACATACATACAGACATCAGACAGACAGACATACATACTACAACATACAAAAGACAACAGACATACATACATACATACAATACATACATACAGACATACAGACAGACAAACATACATACATACAGACAGACAACAACATCTACAACAGACATACAGACATACAGACACAGACAGACAGAAGACAGAAGACGACAGACAGACACGACAGAGACAGAACTACAACACATCAAACCATACATACAACATAAACATACATAAACAACATACACAGACATACATACATACATACATACATACATACTACATACATACATACATACATACATACATACATACTAATACATACATACATACATACATACATACATACATACATACATACATACGTACATACATACATACATACATACATACATAGACATACATACATACATACATACATACATACATACATACATACATAATACATACATACATACTACATACATACATACATACATACATCATACTACATACATACATACATACATACATACATACATACATACATACATACATACATACATACATACATACATACATACATACATACAGCATACATACATACATACATACATACATACATACATACATACATACATACATACATACATACATACATACATACATACATACATACATACATACATACATACATACATACATACATACTACATACATTACATACATTTACATTTGACATACAATACATAACAACGAACTTAGATACAATGTACATACCATTTACATACACATTACATGACACTATTCCATACAACAAAGATAAAGGCATACATACTATACACTCGTCCAAACATCCAATTTTCACATGAACCGATTTTGAATACATCACATAAAACGAGCCTTAAGACAATGTAAACCATTAGTAATCGTTGCATGACACTATTCCAACGAAAGAGTAAAAGGCCCACTATAACTCCGTCCAACACCATTCACACACACCAAACCAAATACATAAGTACCACAATTTAGTGTATACACTTCGTACTCAGTTTCCATTTTCTGATCGTTAGTTAGATCGTTTTTAAAGGACTTTAGAATTTGAGGTATATCATGAATTCCAGGAAATGAACACAGAAAAACTGAAAATTTTTGAGCTTATGTCTTTCAATTTCCTTCATATTATCAATATCATGAATTCCAGGAAAGAACACCGAAAACTGACAATTTTTGACCTCATGTCTTTCAATTTCCTTCATATTATCAATATATGTTCTTTATGTATGAAAGGCAATTTTTGTGACGGTTTTAATTTGTTCGAAAACTACAAAAAAATAAAAAGGTATAAAACTTTGAATGTTCAAATCTTTGAGAGGTTATGTCGGATTTTGTTGATTTAAAACACAATATAATACTATGGCTGTGCTTTTTCATTCTAATATAATTTTTATATTAAAAAGTTTAAGATTATGCATTTTTATGGAAATGCGCTTTTGGAATGCATTTTTGAAATCGTTATCCCTGTTTAAATTTTTTTAAAAGAGCATTAATCGATTATTTGAATCTTTTTATGCAAAATATAAAATATTTTTTTCGATTTTTTAAAATGTTCTGTATTAGGAAATTTTTATATTTTATTGATATTTTATGCATTTAACAGAATTTAAAACTGCTTAAAATACAGTACTGATCAGAATTGGGGTGCAAATATTTAAATTCAATTACCACTAATGTACACATTCATCAAAATGCATTTCAAAAAAATATTTTTTAAAAAATAGAAATGTTTATATTTTTGATGGGCATTTGATCTAACTTAAACTAAAAAAAATTATTTTCAAAATATAGCGAAAAATGATGCTTGAATATTCGTTTAATAAAAAATATTTTATATAACATAAAAAATAGCGATTAATGCACTTTTAAAAAATTTTAAACAGGGAGAACGATTTCAAAAATACATTCAAAAAGTGCATTTCCTTAAAAAATGCACTATCTTAAACTTTTTAATATAAAAATTATAATGGAATGAAAGAGAGCAGCCATAGTATTAGATTGTGTTTAAAATCAATAAAATCAGATATCAACTCTCAAAGATATGAACCTTTAAAGTTTTATACCTTTTTGATTTTTTGTAGTTTTAGAACAAATTAAAATCGCAAAAAATTTTTAAGAGTTTAATTTAGATATGTCTTATATGTCTAATATAAATTAATGAAATCTGTCTGAAGACCATCGGTCAATTCTTAATTGATTTCACATGGAATTCATGATATATGTTCTTTATGTAGAAAATAAAACAACTCCGTTTTTTCTTTAAAAAATTTTCAAGAAGTGTTTTTAGCTAAAATAACATGAATAACAAGTAAGAGTGTTATATTCGGCCATGCCGAATCTTATATACCCACCAATAAATCATCCTTATTAATAAACTTTGATATTCTCAAAGCAATTTTATCATTTATTAGATCTATGTTGAATTTTATCATCATTTGTCGATAATAATATGAACATCAGGGAAATTTTTGGAAGAGGGCCTTTAATAAGATCTTAAGTATGGACCGTACTCTTCCGAATTAAAAATATTAATTTTTTGGACCAATATTTATAATCATAAACTGTTTATACCCTATACCACTTTAGTGGTAAGGATATTATGCGTTTGTTTGATTTCCGGGCTTTTGTGCTCATAATTATGTATTATATAAATGTATCTCGATGAAAGTTCGAGTAAGTTTTATACAAGCCTTGATGACCTTGCCGAATTTCGAAATGATCGGACTTTATTTAACGCTAGCCCCCATACAAAGCCATTTTCAGAAAGTGACTTGAATATCCGCAATTCATTTATTAACACTGTTATTGCAATGAAATTTAGCACAGACAAATATTATATAAACACAAATCTATCCAGCCCATTTTATAGGGATCGGTCCACAATTGCTCCTATCCCCCATATAAGCCTCTTTTAGAAAATTAGTCTTTCGTCAATAAATTGCTTAAATAAATCGGAATCAAGGTAATATTCAAGATAAATGCTTTGTTATGAAAAATAAATCACATTTAATATTCATAACTGGTGTTATAATATCGTCGGCCACGCCCGACTATACTTTTTTACTTGTTTTTTGTAAGAGTGGTTATATGGAGGGTAGAGTTAATTTGTATCAAATTTCATCGCTGTACTACACTCTAAAAAATGCATGTAAATCTGCTCCAATAAAGTAAGTAAATTTTCTATTAAAATTACATGAAATGTGTAAATTTAGGCATAAAATGTTTACCGAATAAATTACGTAGTTTTATCTGTAAAAATACAGACAAACTTAACTATTTATAGTGTCTTATAAACATGTTGGTAACATATTAAACATTTTCACTTTAAAATTACATTATTGTGTTTACATTTTTTTTTAACACAAAATGTGTAATATTTCTTCTTTTAATTCAGTAAAGAAAAAATTGTAAAAATATTATTTGTGAAATAATAAAAAAGTATCAAAATATTAAAAAATTTTGTTTTATATAAAAACACTAAAAAATGATTAAATTTGCATAAAATCAAGGAAGACACAGTGGAATACCTATTAAGTGACCAAATTTTTGAGCGGACAATGTGCAGATGTTTCCGTTGCCCAACAACTGCTGAGCCAATTACTAATTACCATGTACTTTAGTATGCCAACCTTTTCTGCTATTCCAAATTGCAAATTATTAGATTATAAATAAATGCTATCGACTTCAACGTACCAGAAACCACCACTTTTCTAACGCCAAAACAGACTCACAATTTTAC